TGTAACAATATGGCAGACTCTGATCAACATTTCCAGCACAAGGATGAAGGGAGGTGAGAAGGCCAGCGTGGAGTGCGGAGGGTTCTCATGAAAGCCGCTCAAAATGGCACATCGTACCACATTTAATTAAGCAAGTAAAAAAATGTGACAGTGAAGGCGTGATTGGAGTATATAGGAAATGTGAATAGGCCAGGGCAGAAGGGGAGATACCATAAATGTTTAGCAAACGTTTGGTCAAAGGATCAGCTTTACTTGTCTCTTTGACGAGTTGTAATATGCTGCTACGACTGGCAAAACTCACTGACGATACCGGCGAAACGTCTGGGAACTTACCACGTCCACGGTCCGACTTTGGAAATGATTTTGCATACAATGGACTGAAGACAAGGTGCGTTCCTCTAAGTCTTCCTACTAATATGACCAAGTTGCGAAAACAAGGTCAAATAACTTCTATACAACGAAAAGAGACTGCGACCACACAAAAGGCCACACCATCTTAGTCTTCATACCTTCGACTAAATAAGGCTAGTTTGATAGGACAGTAAGTTTTAAGTGCAGGATTAGACAATAGGCAAACTAGGAGAGGGGGTAAAGGAGTATATCTCACAGTGGAAGTGCTGTTTTGTTTCAAGAAGTTCTGTGAATGATACCTAAGACAGGCGCTGAGGGCGATCACACTTCATTAAATTAACTCTTTCTTATGACATTGAAATAGACTACTACATAGATAAGTGTAAATAGATAAATTGGCAATATGGAGATGAGTTGGGGAGAAGGATACAGTTTTAGGAGGGGAGATTTCAGAAAGGTTGAATTGAAAATTGGTCAAATGTGATTTCCTGCCTCTGCCACTTGGATGAGTTGTGATTCGATGCCAACTACGATGAGGATGGAAAGTCTAGAAATATTCCATGTCAACGGTCCGTTGCTAGAAGTGATAATAAATACCATGACAGATGATATGTTTCACAAGCTCTCTCTAGTACAGACCTACTAGCGAAAAATGAGTCATATTGACTAGACGTAATAAATATTTATACTAAAGTTTGCCTATTATGTTTAATTCAACGAACATAGAAAGACTTTCGAAGATATCCTTCAAGCCCAGTTTCCCGAATGTAGTTGGAAGTATTTCTCAAGGTACACTTCTTTCTAGATCTTTATAAATTTAGGTCAACGTTTTAGCTTAACTTTTTTTCCGTTAAGTAATTGGGGATGGATATAGGAATTTAAAAAATAACTACAAACATTATCATGAAAATGTTGAAGTGCCTTTCCTGCCGTTTGAAGAGGCGAGTAAAATGGATTCGTAAGTTGGCCCCATCTGAAGCTGTAGAGGGATTGTCTTGGAGGTATGATTGTATATTTGTGCTAATAGGTCCTCGGCGCACCGCCCTGTGACCCTGATGAATCCTTGATGAGACTTCGTCCGCCATTTGATAAATATATTCAAAGTAGGACACCTTGCTTTACGATAATCCACCATGAACAAGGACTAAAAATGTGGTAGTCTGCAATCCTACCTACTTTTGATGGCCTAGCGAGGTGCACTTAGTGAAACATCTCATGATTTGGTTGGGGAACCTATGCCTTTATTACATGCATTGTAAAAGTGAAGTAGCTGCGGATGGCATATGAAGTGGCTGGAAATGAGGTGTGAAAGGGATGCAATGTCATAACAGTTGCATCCCCCCATAAAACAGGTAATTTTTAATCCTGCAATGTTACAAATGTGATTGCGTTCCACTGTAATTCTATTGTGTTCATGCAGTGCTCATGAGACTCGTGGGATGTGGGAGTGTAAAGACCACGCGCCACACGACATTGCATGGACACAACACATGTACAATGGAACGCAATCACGTGCGGCAACATTGCAAGATTAAAAAAATATGTAATTTCTGGGACGATGGTGGTATTCGGTCACAATCGCATCCGTTGCACGCTTCATTTGCAGCACTTGCCTATGTCATTCACAACAACTTCATTTTTCAACAGCATGTAGCAAAATCATAGGATCTCCAACCAAATCATAATACGTCTCATTAATTGGACTTATCTAGATTATACAAAGTAGGTAGGATTGCAGCCGGCCACCTTTGTGTTTTATGTTTTCGGTGAATTATCTTAAAGCATGGTCTCTTGCTCTGACGATGTCCATCACATGACGGATGAAAGATCCATAGGAATTCATCGGGGTCGCAGGGCAGTGCGACCCCACTCACCACTTCAAACCAAATTTAAGGTAATCCAACACCAATATATCAAGGTATTTTTCTAAAACGAGTTTTCTATATATTATTATAATAAGTCAGAACATTAATTATTAAGCCATCTGTCTGCCATCTCCTTAGGTTTATCCTTCTATGTCTGTCTTATATGCACGAGAGTGTATTGAATTGAAAAACAATTTTTAAAATGCCGACATTTTAAAATTGCTTTATCCATACTAAGATGACAGCATTATAAATATATAGGCTTGACATGAGCCTCATTTATACAGAATAATAGAAAATTAAGTTAACTTGTTGCTTCAAGAAGTCGAAAAAAAGTAAAACAGAGAAAAATAAAAATAATAGCGACTGAAGAATAATAGGTTCTTTAATCTATCGAGATGAATAATAACGTACTGCGGTATCAAAGGTGAAGCCATTGATGGAGGCGCAGTCTGTGGTAGCTGAAGAGGTGCTGGAGGAAAACGACCAGGAATGGACGGAGCTGGACGGCTGGGGATTGGACCACTGCTGCTTTGGATGTTAGTAGGCTTAATGGGACCTAGGCTGGGGGGCAAAGGAGCCCGCCGGGAGCCTCCCGGACTAGGCGGTGGAGGTCCAATGGATGCTCCTCCGGGACCATGTGGAGAGAGGCTGTTGCTATCGGACTGGAATTAAAGGCAAGTTTTGGGTAAGAAAGAGTGGGAGAATAGAATACAAAAGATGAGAAAACAGGTCAAAACTAGTTGAATATGAACACAAAAGCAACAACAGAACAATCGGTTTGAGGCCTAATTGCATAAGAGCATTCATTCATGATTTCAAAAATAAAGACAGACATTATTATCGCAACAAATGAAATTTATACTATGATATCGTTTACAATTACTCATTTGTAGATAATCAAATTCTAGATAGAGTACATAATGTGTTCGGGAAGGAATTAGGGCTTAAAATAAACAGAAAATCAGTTATTCTTATTTAAGTAGAGTTTCGAGACTACTAGTAAATCAGTAATATGGAATGTATTCATCCTATTTCGTTTAAGGTGATCAAGGACTGGTAGTAGAATTTCCCCACAATGATATAAGTAGAATTAACGTTTCCATACGATCGCTTTCCCCAAAATTGTTCTCATCCAGTGGACTGCAGTTTCGACCTCACATAGGTCTGATCAACACCCCGAGCGAGAGTCGAACAGCGACAGTGCAGAATGTGGGCTTGACAAGTTAACCACTCAACAATATTGCCACGAGTGCCCTTGCGTCACAGGGCATATGTGAATTTCAAGGAAGGCTAGACCTTTTCCCATATCATATTCTTCGATGGGGTTGTCGATGAAGCAAACATATATTTGCTATAACAATCGACTACGTTACTTATTTTTCGTATTTAAGTAGAGTTTCGAGACTACCAGTAAATAAGTAATATGAGATGTATTCACTCTTTCGTTTAAATTGATGAAGGATTGGTTGCAGAGTTTTCCCACAATGATACCTAACGAGTAGAGCTGACATTTCCATCGAATTTCACATTACCTAATTTTCTCATCCATGGTGGGCTGCAAATTCGACCTCTCCTAGGTCTTATTAAAACTCTACATCTTA